TTTCACTTGGGAAAGCTGAGAGAAGCACCAGGACAGAACTACCTGCCCTGCAGAGGGCAATATGGAGCACTGAGAGAAGCACCAGGACAGAACTACCTGCCCTGCAGAGGGCAATATGGAGCACTGAGAGAAGCACCAGGACAGAACTACCTGCCCTGCAGAGGGCGATATAGAGCACTGAGAGAAGCACCAGGACACAACTGCCTGCCCTGCAGAGGGCGATATGGAGCATTGAGAGAAGCACCAGGACACAACTGCCCGCCCTGCAAGACATCTATACATCCAGCATTATCAGGGACACTCAGCACCTATGTTCTAGTGGCTAGGCTCAGTTAGGCACCTCTGGAGCCTTATGGCTCAGACTGAAGGGCTGAGGAGAAACTTCTATCCCCAGACTGTTAGCATCAGTGACACAAATGATTAAAAACTTGAATAAGCTATAAGTGCATCTTGCACTTCAAATATTTTCTATTTTTATTTTTTACTTTGTATGTTTCTATATTTTTAGTACTTTTCTTGTTTGTTTTTATTCTTTTATCCTCCTGCCTTGTTTGTCGCACAGTCTGCAGCTTGCGATAATTTAATTTCCCTGCTGCTATTCTAGTACATTCATGCATGTGAGACATAAAAATCTTGAATCTTAAATCCAATCCGATCTTTTGTATTTGCTTTCCCAGCATCCTCTGTTGCAGTGGAAACCTTGAATCTGTGACCAGTCTCTTTCAGAGAGTTATCTACTAGGCAAACAAACCCTACAAAGGGCAAAATTTGTGGGTGAAGGAAATGCAAAGTGCTGGGGGGAGGAGGCGAGAGGAGTGCTGGGTGATTTGTTATGCTGTGTCACATCTGTCCGGCCCTTATCTGCAGAGCAGTGAAATCCGCCCTGATTCACATCTTTTCTACCCTTTAGTACTAGACTCCTTCTGACTGCCTGCTCTGCAGATAAGGGTCAGCATTACTGCATTTGTACTCATTTGATTAGGCTTCTCTGATGTACATCTAAAACCATTATCATTTACACGTTTAAAGATTACTAAATTATAATCAGACACAGTTTATACCTAAGAGAACTTCTGTCTGCACCAATACGAGAAACTACCGAAAAGCACCAGAAACAATGGTTTGCATTTAAATTAATGCCACCAAGAAAATAGTTTTTAAATACGACATGGACACGATGAGATGGCTCCTATGAGTTTCCTTTGATTTTCCCTTGAGTTACTTATATGTGAAGTGTTAAATGGCTGGAACAGATATAAACAACTCGCTGTGTTCTTGGCCAAACTTGCTCACAATGAAAGTCTCCACCGCCTCAGGTGACACGGGCAGTGTGGATGGTGGCGTCTGCTCCTGTGCAGATCCGGATCTTAGCTCGGTGGTTCTGCTTTTGGTTAACCTTTAGCCTGCCTCCTATGCAGATCCGGATCTTAGCTCGGTGGTTCTGCTTTTGGTTAACCTTTAGCCTGCCTCCTGTGCAGATCTGGATCTTGGGTCGGTGGTTCTGCTTTTGGTTAACCTTTAGCCTGCCTCCTATGCAGATCCGGATCTTAGCTCGGTGGTTCTGCTTTTGGTTAACCTTTAGCCTGCCTCCTATGCAGATCCGGATCTTAGCTCGGTGGTTCTGCTTTTGGTTAACCTTTAGCCTGCCTCCTATGCAGATCCGGATCTTAGCTCGGTGGTTCTGCTTTTGGTTAACCTTTAGCCTGCCTCCTATGCAGATCCGGATCTTAGCTCGGTGGTTCTGCTTTTGGTTAACCTTTAGCCTGCCTCCTGTGCACTTGCTTACGTGT